GCAGCTCATGCAGTATAAGTCTCTGCAGAACCCACAAAGTCTGGACAAGTTTAGAATTCCGGCACTACAGAAGGTTATTCACAAAAAACAGCCGACACAGAGGCAATTTGCACTACTCTAACCTGCCTTTTAAATGATTATGCTTCTGTTTTTTTGTTTTGTATATTTATTGATGATGGGACTTTTTATTTTATAAATGAGTCAAGGTCTATTATTAATTATTTGCAGTGAGTCGCATTTTATTTAAAACCCATATAATGATGTTTGTGCTCATTTTTTTGGTCATAAATAAGCTCATTAACACATATGTTTTTTCTTTACAGCTTTTTTAAGCTGTAGTGGCCTTTTTTGGTTATTATTGAAAATAAAAAGACAAATGGGATTAGAGAGGGGCAAGACATGCAGCAAAGCCTGGACTTGACTGACTACCCGAATTGAGGATAAAGCCTCTGTACATGGATTGCATGCACATCCTTGCACCATCAGACCTATATTTTTTGTTTATAACCCATTATTTAGGTTATTTAACGATCAGATTGTTTAAAAGTTATTTACCCTCTTTTTTTCTAGAATGTACTATAGAAAACAAAACCCTGCCTATAAAAGGATAAACAGTACATGGACATTCACTATAGCCTAGTTCCTTTCATTAAATCAAACCAAGAACCAACCACCTTAGAGACAGTTTTTTTTACCAAACAGCAATAACAAAACTAAATGCAACCAAAAATAACCATTAATCGTCATGGATGATGTGTGTGAGAATGTACTATTCTTATTAGTTGTTTTGTATCAGTTATTATTTATTTTTGTATGTGTAAATGGTGGTGACAGTTATTTTTTTTTTTAAGCGTAAAGCATGAACAACACTTTTTAAAATGTCGTTGTTCTTGTGACAATGACAATAAAGATAAATTGAATTGAATGTTAAAAAAAATATGTAGCAAAAAGAGACGTACAACATTTCCTCAAATAGTAACTTTTTCCTGTTTTATTCCTAAAACTCACAACAGAACTATGACAGTAGATCAATACATAAAGCATTCAAAGCTTAACACCTGCTAATAAACATGCAATATTTAGTGAATTTGAAACATAGAGAGGCTACAGATTTTACCAGAGAGTTGTTTAGTATTTCAAACGTGGGCTTACAATGGTCACTCTGAAGCTTTTGCAATGTCTGTCCTGCTTTATTCCTTTCTGACTCCGAGTGACGGTTGGCAAAATGGACAGATCTCCTAGCATAGGTCGAAGTTCTAATGTAAACAAAATCACATACATGGTGCATGGTGTTACGTCTATAAATATAACCTGGAGATCTGCGTTCCGTCTCCTGTGATCCTCTTGCTGAGAGGTTCGTAGTAAACGTTTTGACTAGCAGTCCTCCAGTAATTTACTTAGCCATACACTGGAAAAATGATCAAGAAATAAGTAAAAGTATCTTAAATTAAGTGTATTTACCCTTAATTTGTGTAGGTAAATGAGATTGCCAATGGAATCAGTATTTTTACTTTTGAAATAAGATAATTAGATAATATGCACTTGAAATAAGACAATCCAATTGTGTTTTCTTATTTTTAATGTAAATTGTCTTGTTCCATTGGCAAAATGTCTCTTTTACCTTCCCAATCCAAGAACAAATGCACTTATTTTAAGAAAAAAATGACTTATTGAGATTTACATTTTTTCCAGTAGTTGCTGTTTAACTTCCACTGCAAAAAACAAACAAAATTTAAGTACCGTATTTTTTTTCTTAAAATACATGCATTTTCTTGAATTGAGCAGGTAAATGAAACACTTTGCCAATGGAACATGATAATTTAGATTTAAAATAAGGGGGAAAAAAATGCAGTCTCTTATTTCAAGTGCATAATATCTAATTATTTTATTTTAAAGGTAAAAATAATAATTCCATTGGCAGATCGTCTTATTTTCCTAATCAAATTAAGGGTAAAATCATTTTTTTGAATGGCCACTGCACTGACATGGTTTATAAGCTTCAATTCCCCCAGTGGAAAATCACTGATGTTTCTGCTTGTGCGTCAGATCTGTGGTCTGGAAGAAGATTCCTGCTCAGAACTTTTATCTGTATAAAAAGTGTGTGTTTTCTATTGTCACACTAGTACCTGGAATCTCATGTTCTAAACCGTGTTGAACTCTGAATCCTTCTGCTCCTCCAGCTTTTTTCATGAACAAATTATCTTTTCAGATTAAAAACAGCAGGGTCACAGTTTAGGGTTTTTCCTGGTAAACAGAGACTGTAAATATGAGGTCAGGGAAACATTGTTTCATGATGTCTCTTTTGGTTTCTCTTTGAAAAACACTGGAACTATACTTGGAATTTTTTTTTTTTTTCAGATTTAAAGTATTTCTGTAAGTTCAAAGACTTTCTTTACTGATGCTTAACTGATTTCTTTTCAGGGTAATCGGGGCAGAACCGGCGTGGTGGTGGCTGCCTATATGCACTACAGCAACATATCTGCCAGGTGGGTCTGGAGTCCCAGCTGCAGGACAACCCAGATTAGTCGCCATGTTTATCATGTGATGTGGTGATATGTTTCACACGTCACTGATCCAAAGTACTGCAGAGATGAGCAGCGGATGGCACTTTTGTCCCAGCAAATCAGATGAAATTTGTTTCATTATATTACAGGCAGAAAACCACAAGTTAGCTGCATCATAAGACTCAGATTATATGAGATCTTCTTTGCTTTTCTCAGTTGGGTTGTTTTTTGGTTAGAATACTAACAATCAGATGAGCACATGATGTTTTTACATGTTCTAAAAAAAAAAGACCTCTGCTCTGTTTAAAACTTTGGTTTTTGTCCTAATCTGATTATCCTGGAAGCTTTTATGAAGCTGACAGTAAGGAGCTAGAGAGCTTTTATTAGCAGCAAACTGTCCGAACATGGTGTTTCTGATGGTTGATGGATAAATTTAATCTGCTGATGATGTCAAATTAACACATTTTCAAATACAAGATAGACGGATTGTAAATGAGTTTCAATTTCAAGAGGTAAATCTTTTTTTTTAGCTGCTGTTTCATCTTTTTCAGTGTTCTGATATCTATGGGGTTAAAGGTCCTGGTAGTAACTGTAAGTCTAACCCGGCTGGTTGCTCACATGTTAACCTCATTGTTTTGTGTTTGGATGCAGCGCTGACCAGGCTCTGGACAGGTTCGCCATGAAGCGCTTCTATGAAGACAAAGTGCTTCCTGTGGGTCAGCCGTCTCAGAAAAGGTCAGAAAGATGTCTTAAATAAACACCTGGTTTTTACAGGTTCTAAAAATAATATTATAAAATTCCACATGTCAACAATCAAGCATGGGGGTGGAGCTGTGATTATACGGGCTGGTTTTGCCGTAACTACATTCAACAGTGTTATTAGCTGACCTTTAAGCACAGATCGTGGTGCATTTACTGGTCGGCAAACGGTCATATTTTTTAGGATCCAGCTTGCTTTATTTAAAATTCACACATTTAATGTTTAAACATTTTCAAAATCTTCTCTTCATCTTCAATATAGAAAATGTGAATACCTTAAGAAAATAAAACAATGTTTTAATGTAAAACCAAAAACAACCTCTTTAAAACGAAGTGATGTCTCCCTGCAAAATATTTTTTAAGTTACTGACCAAAGATATCCATTCCACATTGAAATAAAGATTGTTCTTTGATTTTTCTTGATTAATCTCCAACTGAGCTTAAGGTAATCAGACCGGATCAGACTGAGACTTCAGTATTTTAATTTAACGTCCATTTATTTCTCCCTTAAGTGTCAAAAGTCATTTACAAATAGCAGAAAATGTATATGCACTCCATGAAAAGCGAGGTAAAACAGTATTGTTATGTTACAAACAATAAGCTAGCACAACATCCCGTCGACTAATACTGTGGAGGGGTTGTCTGTCCACCAGAGTCATGTTTAAAGACAAAACACTTTGTGAATCCCCTTTGGCCCTGTCAAAGGCTTAAACGTTTTTGGACAGGCTTGAAAAAAACACATTCTGGTATTAATTGTAGATTTCCACCTACATTCCAAAGGTGTGGACCTGTCATTCGTTTGAATTTGCATGTTGTCTCAGAAAAACAAGGCTTTGTTGGGCTACTATATAAAGCAACTCAACGCTTTTTCTGACATTTGAATTGAAAAAGCTTCCTGGATGGGAAGCAAAACGTCTTCAAACTTGAAAACAAATTCTGGTGGTTTGTTTTTTAACTTTTTTGGAACACTTACAGCGACTTTATACAAACTGCGACCATTTCTGCTGAATGCTGACCTCTGTTGGTGGTTTACACTGGAAAAAGATCTAGAAACAAGTAAACATTTCTCAAATTAAGTGTATTTACCCTTAATTTTAGTTGGTAAATCAGATAGTTTGCCAGTGGAATTTGGATTTTTACTCTTAAAATAAGATAATTTGATAATATGCACTTAAAATAAGACAATGCGATTCTGTTTTCTTATTTTAAGTGTAAATTGTCTTGATCCATTGGCAAGATGTCTCTTTTACCTCCTCAATCCAAGAACAAATGCACTTATATTAAGAAATAATGACTTATCTAGATGTGTAAAATGTTCATTTTTAAATCATTTCCACTGTTTAGATTAATGCATCACTGGTCAAAAGTTGGGCTTAAAGTCCTAATCTTGAACAATGCCTTCCAGAGCTTTTTGAGTGTGATAGACATTTCCAGACAGCCTGAGTTGTCCCTAAACCTGAATTGGTAAAAGGTTTGTTTTCAGATTTTGGTTCTTAAACTTAGAGGAAAACCTTTCTGTCTCCTCTCCTCCCTCAGGTATGTTGAGTACTTCAGCGGGTTACTCTCTGGCCAAATCAAGATCAACAACAAACCGCTCTTCCTTCATCACGTCATCATGCACGGCATCCCTGACTTCGAGTCCAAAGGAGGTCGGTGTCCTCCGCTGATCTCCACCTACAGCCAAACGTCTCCAGATACATCCAATGTTTTTAAAAATGTCTTTATTCTACCACAGGTTGTCGTCCCTTCCTTAAAATCTACCAGGCCATGCAGCCCGTCTACACATCTGGGATCTAGTGAGTTTGAACAGACGCTCAAATGCTCTTTACAGGATTTCTGGGATGGGGACCCCAGAAGGGCTGCGTAATAAACCCTATGATTTTCCTTTATTGCCTCTCTCTAACACCCACACCCACCCACCAGTTACACTCCAGTCTCAGCTTACATTGTTGTATTTAGCTAGCCTCTGCAGCAGGAGATCCCCCAATCACACCTTGTTAACTTGTGACTAGGGAGGCAGACAGGCATCTGTGTGGACGCCTGTAGGATTGTTCCTGCCTGAGGAGACTATTTAGGGTTCTACAGGACTGAAAGGCAGTGGCTTATTGGTCATCGGTTGTTTTTTAGGAAGGTAAAAGCTGCGTAAAGGCTGAACATCTCCTATATACACATGTCGAATTAGACATATCTGTATTTGGCTCAGCTGCACAGTGAAGCAGTGGGTAGCAATGTTGCCTTGCAGCAAGTGATGAAGTTTGCATGTTCTCCCCGTGCATGTGTCGGTTCTCTACAGCTTCCTCTCACATTTCAAAAGCACGACTGTTAGGTTAATTAGCTTCTCTTTCTCTAAGTTGTCCTTAAGTGTGAGTGTCTGCGTGAATGTGTGTATCTGTGTTGCCCTGCGACCGACTGGCGACCTGTCCTGGGCGTACCCTGCCTCTCGCCTGTAGACTGCCGGAGATAGGCACCAGCCACACTGCGGCACTGACATGGAATAAGTGTGAGAAGATGGATTTATTTGGCTTAATTTCCTCACCTATCTACCCGAACAGACCCATTTTAGATGCACTGCTTTCACATAGTATCCTTGACTGCAGAGGAAACCTGTTTTTGGAGTAAATCTGTTCCTTTATTAACCCCCCTACCTGGCAGAACCAATTATTTCAAGGTCAGTTATCAAATCCAAATCCAGTTTGGATTCATTGTCCTGTTGGAACATTTATACCGTCCCACTAGCACAGAAAAGGATCCACAATATGATGCGATCCATCAAACCTTGTTTGGAGTAAGAGTTATTAATATTGAAGTGGATTCATCGTAGACATTCCTACTGATGTTCCTGCGGTTTCCAGATCATGGCAGACTTCATTATCATCTATGCTTTCTGTGTTCCTGAACATCCAAATTGAATTATTTTTAATCAACAGGTCAGTTCATGTCTTCTTAAGTGAACCACATGCTTCCGGTCAGCAGTCGTTGCCCTTTGATGAGGCTGTGGGATACTTTAAATCTTTAGTCTGATATGGTTTTTGCTGAAGAACAAATTGTTTAATATCCACTGAGCAGCAGTTAGTGGAGTGATCTCTGCTGTTTCCACCGCAAACTGATACGATGGGATCATCTAATATATTATTCCTCTTTTTTTTTTTTTGCAGTAATGTTCAAGGCGACAGCCAGACAAGCATCTGTATCACCATTGAACCTGGTCTCCTTCTGAAAGGGGACATCCTGGTAAGAACCGCACACAGACACAGGACGCATATCATAAAACAGGCATGGTTGGTTACTGGTATGAAAGTTTGGGTTGAAAAGGGTCCCAGGGAATTCTCAGAAACCTCTTAAAAACTTTCTGTTGGGAAGTTATTCTTGGAATGTTGGCAATATTCCAAGTTGGAAACTGTCCATGGTAATAATGGGAATGTTGGAGGACTTAAATGGTAAATGTGGGTAATTTATAGAAACATTCTCACATCCAGCCATTGGTATAAGAATTATGTTTGAGGAGCCACGCAGGACATGTTCACACGTTAGCGCCGGGTTAGCTGACTACAGTGCGGCTATGGTCCCGATCCGATGTGGGCATGCTGCAAAAAGCCACTTACACTGATCGACCCAACCTAACTCCTGCTCTGGCTGCAGAGAAGATGCTAACAGGAAAAACGGTTCACATGGATTCAAACCCTCAGGGACTTTTTCATCCTCCACCAGCCCCTCAGTTTCCTAGTAGTTTGCCGATTTCCTTGAACTAGAGAAGGTCAGTTTTTGGCCAGTTTTCTGCTCTAACAATATTGATATCGTACATTGATAATAACCTGCTTTGGCAAATTGGTACATCTGTACCAGAGCTGGACTTTTTTTTTTTTCCTCGCATGGGTATCAGCCAATACCTGCATGCATTCCCCGATTCATTAGCAGCCATGTCTTTAGATCAAGGAAGTTGCCGTTTTGCTATCCATAATTTTTTTTTGTTAATTTATTTGTTAATAACAGTTTTTTTGTTGTTGTTCACTCGTATATTGTTTGTTATGATTATTGCAATTTTAATCATGTAAATTATGAAGAGAAAGTAATATTTAAGCCTAAAGAATCAGCAGAACCTATAAGGGATCAGTTAGACGTCAGGATAATCAGTAGCTGCATCGGCCTTAAATAAACAGAACCAGTCAATCTCTAATCCCTGCAATACATAACATCTGTTTACACAGTCAAATAAAATGTTCCTCTCAGGGTCAGATGTCTGCTTTTAGATGCTCTGTGTGTGTGATGGTGAAATGCTCAGTGCCTATAAGCTGTTAGGTCATAAGACCTGCAGTAAGTCGCCTGCATGACATTGAAAAACTTTATACTTAACAAATAGTGTTTTTTTCCCCCACAAAATTGGAAGAAATTAGGAAAATGGTTCTTATGAATATGAGAAATTGGATTTTTAATTATCTGTAAGCTATTAGCATAACTACAAGGTTTACACTCTGTCTCAGTGTGTAATAAATGTTTATAATATTTGTTTTCATCGTAAGCTCTGCCTTTTCAATACTGATCATTTTACATTTGATAAAAAAAGCTGCACTAACCAGCAGAATAAGCCAAGTTTTTGGTGGTCCTGTTGGGTTCTTCCCCTCTCAGCATGGATATGATGGGAGCTTGTACTGTACGCACGTTGTGCAGCAATTTCTGGCGATTATTGACAGAAGCAGTAAAACATGGGGAGAGATTGCTGGCCTGGATCCTGCAGGCCTGTTTATAGACCCTCATTAGCACACAATGTGTTTCTGGAAACAAAGACGTAACAGTGGGACCGTTCTTCCGGTCCAGCAGCATTTTTGGACCTTTTTTTTTTTTTTTTTTTTGGAAAGCTGGTCTGGCTTTTTTAATGTCTAAGGGAGGAAGCAGCCGTGTTATTCTCTCGCTCAAGTTTTCATGTGGAAAAAGTTTCTCCCCCTGCTTTCCTTGAGGCTGTAAAGTTCCCCATGAGGTGGGCCTTTAGGGTTCCTCCATTTGTAGCTATGTGACCCTCAGAGTGAGACGTCGGTGGCTCATATTCTGGCCCACGGATCCCAACTCATCTCATCCTTTATTTAAGAAGAACTAATGGATCCTCCTGAATTTATAATCAGATGGAGCGCTTTGATGATGCCTGTCTCATTCTGATTACAGGAACAGAGATAATGTGAGTGTTGGCTGAGGGCCAATGGGTTTGGCAGGGGGGATGATGCCTTAAACAACAGTAACTAAAGCCTTTTTTCACAAATTCACAATGTCCTCCATTTTTAATCTCCTCTCATCTCCTTACCTTGACACCTCTGTAATACCATCTAAATTGATTTCAATACTAGCCCATCCATGGATGCAGTATCAGAATGTTGCACATTTGTTTTCGAACAAATAAAAAACAGAAATGATCTTTTTAGATGCCATGGTTTGAAAACAGTTGAAAACCGAGTTGCTTGGGGTTCGAGTCAGTTCACGTCTTCCACCTTGACTGCCTAAACTACAGATAATGCGATGCACCGCACAGCAAAAGGGCTCCACAGCACTATCTGCCAGACTGGCGGTGCAAAAGTAGATTTTTCCTCAGTTTTATGTAAAAAGGTTTTACTTAAAAAAATAGATACTAGGAACTAAAAGATCGATATTATATCAAGCAGCCAAAAAATATTATATATTGCCTAACTGATTTTTTCCAGACCCCTAGTTAACACCCTGTGCAGCAACAAAGTATTATGATCCTACTATAAAGAAAAAGTTGTCATACAGTATGTGGACACACTGTACGTATATACTGCATATATCCATCCACCTTTTTCTTCCTTTGGCACATTCTTCTTCTTTGTCTATTTGAGCTGATGTAAGGAGTAAATTTTTCCACTGTGAGATCATAAAGTCAATCAATCAATTAATTCAAAAAAGCATCAAATCCTATCTGATTTTTAATTAACACAAAAAAAATATATATATAAATAAATTGATTCTTGATGATGTGTTTACAGGCTGCCCATTAGAGGGGGAAAACTGGCTGATTGTTGCATCACTGATCCTAGAAAGAATAATCTAAGTATGAATACTGATGAACAGGGAAAGGTGTTAAATAGATTAAATTTACAAACAATGATTTCCTAATCTATGGTAAAACAAAATATTAAAAATTTTTTAAACAAATAGTTTCCTTCTATCCTTTCTGGCTACGTCCATTTTGCTGGAGTTTTCCCAGATCTCAGATCCAATTTAAAAAGCACCCCATATTATGATTCTGCCACTTCCATGCTTCGGTATAAAGATAAAACCAAGGAGATGATTAATATTAAAAGAAGCAGCCTTTTTATTATGTCTACTCAGTGTCATTTGGGCCCATCGTTCTGGATTCTGACCCACCATCCAGTAAATAAAAGCCAGTATGCATCATCATTCTGATGTTTCCTCTTTTTGAATAAAGCACTAGAGTTATTCTGTTGTGCAAAACTGGTTTAGAACCTTTGGAAAACATCTGAAAGAGAAAAAAATCAAACAAACATCTATTTTAATTAATTTAGGCTTCAAGGCTCATTTATTTCGTCCAATTTAACTATTTGGAGCCTTTGATTGTTTGTCTGTTTGCTGTTCTTTGGTAAGTTGTGAGGCAGTAGCTGTAAATGTGGTTTCTACCTGAACAAAAACAATCTAAATCCAGTCAGACTGCTGAAGGAGTATCAGAACCAGAACATGCAGCGACCATCACCCTCTGAAGGTGACCTGTTTGCACTGTTTCCCCCCCTTAGCTGAAGTGCTACCACAAACGCTACCGCAGCCCCTGCAGAGACGTGATATTCCGGGTGCAGTTCCACACCTGTGCCATCCATGACCTGGGAATTGTGTTTGGGAAGGACGAACTGGACGAGACATTTAAAGGTAGAATGGTCTTCTGGATCGGTTAACTCACAGCCTGTTCTTCTGTAGCTGCTCCTTTATTCTGTATCACATGTTTCCTGTGTGCAGATGACAGGTTTCCAGAATACGGAAAAGTGGAGTTTATTTTCTCACTTGGACCAGAGAAAATCCATGGTAAGTATCAGTGAGGTTAAACCCAATAAGCTAGAGTCTGACGAAGCTTCTGATTTAAAGGTATTCACATCTTCTTCTCTGTCTATTTGTACTTCTGGTCAAGGTATGGACCACCTGGAAAACGGGCCGACAGTCTCGGTGGACTACAACACCCAGGATCCTCTGATTCGCTGGGATTCCTATGAAAACTTCAACCAGCACTGCGAGGACACCACTGATGGTGAGAGCGAGACGGCAAATGATCTTTGATTCAATTTGAATATTTAAGAATTTTTCCCAAGACGATGGGAGACAGAGTGTTGCTGCTGGTTGTTTTAGACAGAAAACTGTTTATTAGTCTGCTGCTAGTGGCTGGATTTGAGTCTATCATCTAAAAGGTCAAAGAAATCCTGTATGACGGCTGATATTCCTATCAGTTCCCAGTAAGGAGATCAGTTGGGCTGCTGGGTTTTGAGTTTCTAACTTACAGTCTGGGGTTCCTATGTAAAAATGATAGGGAATAAGAGTCATCATAGTAAGTGTTGGACCCCATCAGAGTGGGTCTGATGTTGAACACTGGTTGAATGCTGCTAGGCAGACGGTCTCCACCTTGGAGAGCTTCGCTGAAGAGTCAGGATGAGGTTGACCTCCAGGTCTGGAGACGTTAGGAAGGATGCTCTGAATCAACTGCAGGCCTTTCATTATGCTGGGTCCCATCAGGGGGTGGAATCTTTTTATTTACCAGTTTTCCTATGTTTCCGTGGTGATTGTAACACGTGATAGACTCAGGATATAAGCAGCTGATACCAGTTTCTTTTGCAGCGTTGATGAATGGAATCATCCAATGTGACTAACTGTGATTCACGGCTTCTTGGGTTGGGGAGTGTTTTGCCAGCGTATGCAGGGCGCTGCTTTGATTGGCTCCCAAGGTGCTAATTTTAAAACTTCAGGGAATTCAGACTTTACTTTATTCTCTAATTGTATTTTTTTTCATAAATGACCTCTGAATGCTGTTTTTAGGGATGTTTGAACACTTTTTTTGTTTACTGCATGATTAAAGCATCGCTCCATTGCAGCTGTGATCGTGATGGCCATGGTTACAGTGAAGTGCTGTGGCCTTATGGAGCCGCCTCTCACACTGTGATTGGGGAAAGTATTGAGCATCAATAGACTGATTTACGCACCGTGGAAAGATCTGTCCGGTTTTCCAGATTATTAACCCTATTCCTTATGTTGGTGAATCAGAAATCTAAAAAATAATAAGCTAAATATATTTAATAGGACTTAATTATAATCCACTTGGGTAAGCATTTTGGTATTGAGTAAAAATGGCTGCCCCCTGCCTTTTTTATCACTAATAGGAGGCAGATGGATGGATGGCAAATTTTTCTCTCAGTCAAGTTTGAGTTAAATATTTATTACCTAAACTCATGGGTGTAACTTTTTGATTAAAGTTGGTGGGGACACTCTAAGGGTGGTGGATGATGGAACTACAGTTACTCCAAACAAACACTTTCAATATCGTTTGTATTTAAGAAAATTGAGCTCAAACATATATTTATTAAATGCTTTCCTATCATTCAGAACACAAAATAACCAAAATACATTGGTATTTATGTCTATGGGTAGATAGACATTGTATATAAAAAAAAAGGATGAATTACAGCCGATTCCGATGCCAACAGCATACATCATGCCTGCCTAGCATGCACACAATTTCAGTTTCATTCTTTATTCCATCAATCCATCTAGAAAAATAGGGATGGATTGATGGATGTTTTCCCTTTCAGCTACATTAGTGATTATCTTCCTTCAAAAGCAGCAAAATCAAATTTAGAAATTTGTCCCACATATTGCTGAGAGCCAAAGTCTATGTATTAAAATTTATTGGTGGGGAGATGTCCCCACCAGTCCTTCAGGAAGTTAAACTTAATAATTTCCTCCTGTATTTAGCCATTATTATCTCTGGAACCGTTTGTCCAAAATCTAGAAATGTCATATGACAAGGCTCCTGCAGAGCTGAAAGACTAAAGGGAGGATGGACGCTCTTCAGGACTACCCACCACCTTCAGTGAGGCTGTGGCCATGGAAGCACAACACCATTTCCATCTCTGATTCTGACCTCTGAAACCAAGCTGCTTGTTTTCCTTCTTCATTCAGTCCTTCTCTGAAGGTGTTTTTATGTCTTTAAATCTTCTCCGTGATGGAGGTGATGCTGAGGTCAGACACAGATGGAGCGTACTGTTCCAGACGATCTACCAGTGTTGTTTCCTTTCTTTAAACATCGAAAACATCGTCTGATCGTAAACATCTATTGTTTTCTCATTGCTTCAACATCTCCCCGCCCTGGATGGAATTGATGGCTGAAGGGGACAGTTTTACAACCGCATCATTTGCGGTGAAATTATCACAACAGAGAAGCCAAACGGCCCAAGAGACCCGAGGCTGCAGCCTTCCAGAGCGCAGACATTCCTGGGCTGAGCCACAGGCATGGACCAGGGTTTCCTTTTGAGGCAGCGGTGGTCATGCTGCGACCAAATCTCTGCTTTATGTGCCACCCAAAAAAAGAAAGTGCTGCCACGCCCTCAGCAGCGCGAGGTGCCGACCCCATCCTGCTCTCTGCTCCCTACTCTGGTAAATAAAACAGTAAGATAGGAAGCGTGCTTGTTGATTAGGGATCCAGCCACGGTTCTTGGACTCCCCTCCTCCTTGTTTTTATTAGGCTCCCATTTAGTCAAAGCTCAGAGGTCATTTGGCTTCTCTTTATCACAGCTCATAAAGCGTGGCAGCCTGAAATAGACGCCGCTAAAATAGAGCAGGTGAAAGTCTCATCTTAGCTTGTTTCTGTAGAGGTGTGTCTTAGCCCCGCCCCATCATGAGCTAATGAGATCAGAGCAGAATAAACATCACAACTGTGAGGTCTTTTTTTTTTTTTAGCATGCAGTCCTCAGTTAGAAAGACTTCAAATTTAGATACAGTGTCTTGATCTTAACATTTTTTTAATCAAAAGACAATTTGTTTTGCAAGAACTTTAATTGCATACTTTAACTGGGAAAAATTATAATTTGGAAAAACAAAGTTTGAGATAAAAAAAACAGCAAAAGTTACACTCAAAACCATTTCTTTATAATAAAAAAAAAGTATAATAAAAAAAAAATCTTTTGTGAATTGCAGTTTGTACTAATTTGCATTTATAAATTGCATGCTTGCTTCAAACAATAATTTACCAAATTTATTCCTCTGGCAGAGCCTCAATCAGCCAAACGTCTAAATGTAAGAAAGGGAAAGCTGCAGGCTGACAGCTTTACTCATGAGCTTCTGGGTTCCACCTTTATGCTTCTCATCTTTGAAGCTTGAAAAACTTCCAAAGTCTGCTGGAGGTTTCTTCCTGTTAAAAGAGAGTATTTCCTCTCCACTGTTGCTACAAGCAAGCTTAGTGTGAGGGATTGTATTTGAGTCAATGAGTCAATGCAATCAGCTGGTTTTCTTTAGATGGAAAACTTTGAATCAATGTGACTTTATGATCTGGTTGAATTGTAAAGTGCCTTGAGATGACAATTGTAAATTGGTGCTATATAAATAAACTGAATTGAATTGAAGTGTCCTCACTGATTGACACTATAGAAACTGGGCCTCTGTCTGTAGAAAATCAGAGCAAAACAGATGAAGAATCAAACTTCCTGGAAGAAGAGCTGCTTTTACTGACTGAGGCTTTTCTGGCAGTGAAAAAAAACAAACATGTTCCTTGCTGGTTTCACAGAAATGGATCAGAACCAGCAGCGGAATCTGGAATACCTTAGATGGGATGAATCCTAAAAGACGTGTTTTGCTGTTAGTTGATTATACTGTTGATTATTCTTTAGGAAAACCAACTTATCTCAGTCCTTTGTTGATCCTGAAACAACAGGCGGTAAAAAGGCTTAACTGGATTCAGCTCTAGCTAACACACCTCTTGTTTTCACTGACTGATACTGACTTTTTCTGTTTTTGATCCTTCAAAAATAATCAGCTTCAGAGATCTTTCAGAAATATTCAGAACAGTGACATCTTAATCCTTCTCTGACTGAGTTTAGCACCAATTATCATGGATTTGATGTGACCGATCTACACAAAGTAGCTCATAGTGAGTAACAAGAAAGGAAAACTAGAAACATTTGTGTTCGGCTCTAAATCTGATACTCCCCAATGAAAGTTTAGAAACTCAAACAATAGAATGATTAAGACCAATGTACACAGTTTGGGTTTATAGCAGGGTTATTGAACAATGTTAATGTTTAAACAATTCACAGGACTCTCTTCAACCCATCATCTGAGCATGGAAATAACTGTAAAAAGACATGATGTCCACCTCAACTGACAGGAAGAGCATTATTCAGGGAATCAGCTAAGAAGCTTTGGGTAACTCTGGAGTAGCTGCAGGGAACCACAACTCAGAAGGGACAATATGTCTTCAGTTAAGGTATTGATCTCTCAGAAAAGTGGAAAGAAGGAAGACATTTAAAAGAAAGTCATAAAACCTTCCTAGAATGAGTCACAAACATGTAGGAGATTCTACAAACGTGGAGGAATATTAACCTGGACCCAGCATTTTCAGGGTGAAACGGTGGTGGCAGCATCATACTGTGGGAATGCTTTTCTTCAGCTTAGGGATTCTAAATCCAGGAGTGAAAATCTGAGCTTATCCAGAAGAAACACGGAAGAAAAAGACTTGAGATTGAGGTTGAGTTTCAGCTTCCTACAGAAAAACCTCTTGAAACATACACAAAGAATGGCCTAGTCAAAGTCTAGACTTATTATATAGAACTGAGCGTCTGTGGTTTGAAAAAAAAAAAAAAAAAAGTTCTTCATTTGATTTCACTGTAGAAGACTGATATTTCAGTCTTCAGACGTTTAAGGCTGGTAGACATGAACTTGTAAAGGCCTGCGGCAGTTCTGCCAGTATTAACTCAGGGGACTTGATTCAAAGGCAAGCCACACTTTTCAGATTCTTGTAAAAAAAATGGGAATCCATTAATTATTCTGTCAATGATGCACTACTTTGTGTCACTTTGTCACATAAAATCCCAGAGAAAAAGAGTAAAGCTTGTAATCGGATCATGCTCATCTGTTGGATCAGAACATTTCTGTTGATGCTGTTAGGACTTTTTTATTCTTTGGTTCTGGACAGAGAGACGTGGTGGAAAGTTTCCGCTTTTCCATAGTGAATATTCAAACTTCTGTTTCCTTCTGAGCCACTGTAGC